GTGGCCAGGCAGAAGGGCGCGACAGGGAGGGAACAGAGAAGCTCCAAGTTGAAGGAAAGGTGGCAGGAGTTCAGGTCTCCCTACCTCTTATCTCCATAACCAAACGGTTACTTATCTGACTATCTTTAAACCTTCAAAATTTCCAGTCAGCAAAGGGGGATGTGGTGTGTGGGCCCATGGCTCAGAGGTTCAGAGACGACTCCACTAATCAAGGCCCACCTGATATTTACAGTCAAAAGCCTAGACACTCCTCTCAACACACCCTTCTCCAAAAGCTATGGCTGCAAAAGAGACCAAGGGACAAATGCTTGTTCCCTGTCCTCTGAAAGTGAAAGTGAAGTTGCTCAGTTGTGTCCGACTCTTTGTGACCCCATGAACTGTAGCCTACCAGCCTCCTCTGTCCATGGGATTTTCCAAGCAAGAGTACTGGAGTGGGTTGCCATTCCTTCTCCAGGGGATCTTCCTGACCCGGGGATTGATCCTGTCTCCCACATTGCAGGCGGACGCTTTACTCTTTGAGCCACCAGGGAAGCCCTGTCCCTGGTGAGCTACTGAAAACAGTGAGCCCCATCCCACCAGGTACGCTCTCACCGTCTGCCCATTTGAGCACCACCTGTTCTCATATAAAGCTCTGGTTAGGCTCAATATCCTTAATTTTTAAAAGTCCACTGGAGTTGTTCCCTAGTAGGAATCTAGCCTGGGCTCTGCCACTGTGTGACTTCATCTCTCTGTGCCTTGGAGGTCCTCATTTTCACTAGGTGGACGGACTAGACCTAGGTTCTAACCTCAAGGTCTGTGGATGGGTTTCAGATGTGCATGAACCCCTTTAAAAATCAGGAAACGTTGGTTGTGTTCCGGAAGTGAACTAGGTGGCCAAGAGGCCACTTGTAGAATGAAGACCTTTCAGTTGTACTGTATTCCCCTTTGCCTCTTTTGAATTTTGAGCCAAAGGAACACATTACCCATTTAAATATAAATACATAAAATTTGTATTAAAAAGGAAAAAAAAATGTACGCAAGACCATGTGTTGGGGCACATAGTTTTGAAGAAAGGATCCATTATTTTCATAAAATTTTTCTAAGGTGCTCCGACCCCAAAAAGGTTTAAAAAGGTTGTACTAGATGCCCGTAAGGGTCATTCTCTGTTCCGATTTCCTTGATTTGACAAAGTATTAAGAGAAAACAAAAGTGAATTTCAGTACTCATTACATCAATAGCCTGGGTTGAATGCATGTGAAAATGCACCCTGAAATCACATTTAACAGCATAGGTGTGCACGTCTACATGAGAAGAAGGGTTTAGATGTGAATGTCGGACTTACTTGATAGGATGAGTTGTCCTCACTGGTGGAGATCAAGGTCAAAAACTGACCCCCATCAGCCTATTCTCTCAAAGCTGTTGAATTAAGTCCTCCTTGCCCCACCCCTGCATCCACTCAAAGAAACATCCAGCACAGATTAGTTGCACAAACAATGCATATAAATAAAAGCAATATGGATCTTTTTTAAAGTGTTAGCCACTTTGGCATGGAGCAGTGGGAAGGGAATGAGAAGCAGGAAATGGAGGAGCTAGGCAGATCCAGGGTGAACTGGAGATGAAGGAAGCCTAGCTCATCAGAGACCTACGTCTGAATCTCTGAAACCCACAAGAATCCTCTTGTGTTGGAGAGGAAATTACTTCCTGGGTGTGCAACTGTGGATGGTGTCAGGGGAGGGGGAATCTAGCTGAGGGATCAAAGCAAGACTGGTTAAGGCAACCCGACTAGCAGCTGAATGGGTCAGAGCAATGAGAAAGGTCACACACAGTTTCAAAAAAAAAGAAGAGCGAAGAGGCAGCCACCATTTAACAAATGGCCCTGGGCAATGGTAAACTTTAATTAACTGCACCATTATAATTCACTTCCACTCCAAACCCCAGCTCTCCCTCTCAGCACCTCCCTCCTTCCCTTCCCCCAGGTCTCATCAAGGCAGGTTTCCTTAGTGAAACCCAACTGGCCGCCTGTGCTGGAGGCTTCGTTATTACAGCTCTGCCTCTTCTGCTAATAACGCACCCAGCCACAAGAAGAGCTAACTACAGTTCTCAGCTCTTAATGACAGGCCCCTTGTCTACCTATGGGCACTAAATCAAGGATCCTGTAATCCTACAAGTTCCTGAAAGGAATACCGTAGCAATGAAGCGTTCAGTGGCAGGTGAGCAGGAGCAGATGTGCACGCAGAGGCAGGTAACAGAGCCAAAGTCCCCCTGGAATCACTGGACAGTACTCACCAGGTTCACACCTGGACCCCATCATCCACACGCCCAGGCTGCCATGTGCAGCTCAAGGGCGGTGGCTGCACCCAATGCGCCTTCATTCACTGGTGGTTAAATCACACCAGTGACATTCTATCTCTGTATTCTCAGCCTGCTGAGGTTTACCCATTTTATGTGTGTGTGCAATGGGAGTGGGGGTGGGGAGCACCTCAGAGGATCTTCCAGGCAAAACATGCTTGGTTTTTATTAATGAGCTTATGAGAAAAAGCCAACCCAGACCTTTAAGTGAAACGTGTGATTGGTAGCCAGGCGAGGATAGGTTTTAGAATTAACTCTTCCTACGGTCTGCTATGCATTATCACCCCCAAGTTAATTACCCCTGAGGATGAAAATAGGTTTCATGACTCATAAGCACCAATACAACACTTGGCAGCAGATGAAAATGCAAGGACACATTTGCAGGAAGCTGACAGGCACATCTATTTATATGTGGGGAGATTCTTAAAGAGGTGAGACAGGCACCTCCCGGGTACCAGGATTAAGAGACTGCTGCAGATCCATCAATTGCCATTTATCCACACCCTCAGATACACACACATACACACACACACAGAGTCATGGTTTCCACTACTTCAAGTTTGGTGGTGGCAAAGCAGGAACAGAAACTAAAAGGCTGTTATTAACAGCAAGTCAGAACACCAACCCAACCTTCACATGGGTGTTCTGGGCCAACCAGTGGTTTGTTTTTCCCCAAGCTCACCTGTACCCATACCCACCACCCTACCCTTTGATTTGAGTGGGGTGGGGATTGCCCAGTCTCGTTCCTTTGCTATACCTCTGGCCTCTGCTATTCCTCTGGTAATAAAGGTCTGGGCCCAGCTTACCTCCACCAGGAATGGGGTGTGGCCAGGAGTGGATTTCTGATAGGATCTAGGGTTTTTTCTTCCTCCATCTCATTTTCTACTTTCCTTCCATTTGCCTCTCCAGTAAAGTTCAAGGTTCAAACCAGGTTTGTTTGCCTTCCCTTAGTTCCCATTTAGGCTCAATCAAGGGGTTCTGAGTCCCTAAAGGATGTTCCAGTCCCATCCCCTTCCTTCTGTACCTCACAGATGCCACCAGAAAGTTGATTAGATGAATAACCGCATTTCAACCAGCAGCAATGGGTTCTATCTGCTGTCATAAGCCATCACTGCCCCAGGAACAGGGTTTGGGCTTTTCCCCCCTCTCCCCCCAACTCTGCAACCAACTGTGTTCTGCTTTAAAAATTATCATCAAAAGCCAGGGGGTGTGTGTGGCGGGGGGGGGGGGGAGGTGGTGAGAAGGAAGCGTGTCACAATGAAGTGAAACTGCTTCCAATGCAGGAACTGGAAGCTGCTAGAACTCTCCTGAGTACAATGAATGTTTCCCACTTCCACACCCCTCCTGCCGGCTCCCAGCTCTGTGGCACTTTTGGCTTTAAATGTACAACAGTGATTTCTGCCACATCTGAGGCAGAGCACCCCAGTTTTTTTTTTCTGCTTCCCCTCATCCCACTTGCCTAAATCAAAGCTGCATTGGGTATCAGCATATACTCGGGGCCACAGAGCAAGGAACCAAAAATGCATTCCTGACAAAGTCATTTGCAGCTCGGGTGCGCATGGAGGGGGTGGGGAAGCAGAGATGCTGAAGAGTAAACAGAAATGGCTTAGTCAGCAACTGTCCCGCCCCAGAGGTGAATGTAAATAGCCTGGTACAGAAGGGGAGGAGCGGTCAGCCAGCACTGGGCCTTCTACAGAGGCCACCGCTCAGGTCTTTCAAAGGCACCGGCGCGCGTCCGCGCTCTCTGTCGGAAGTAGTGAGGCGCTGTCCCTGCTGGTGCAGCTGTGCGGTCTTAGCCCTGGAAAAACAAACTTGCTGACTCGGGGCAGAATTAATATCAATTGAATTTATTACAAGTTACTAAGCTCCAAGGCACATTACAGTGTTCTGTTAACTACAGAAATGTATAAAGGACGAACAGAGCAGATTCTCCATGTCTAGCAGTTCGCTCTACTGTTCAAAAAGCATCCGTGCATCAATAAAGCAAAAACAAAACAACACGTGAAGATCCAACACATTCAGGTCAGTAGAAACAAACCAAAAAACATTTTCCCTCACCAACTTGCAACAAAAAACACCCACCCCCCCAACACCCCCCTTACCATTTTGCAAAGGAAACAGAAAAAAAAAAAAAAAAAGAACAAAACTGAACAAAATAAAGTGAAGACGTCAACACTTGGGGCTGTTCAGAAAGAAGCTCTCACCATTTTATAGCATCATTTTTTTTTAGGCAGCAACACTGGCCTTGGCAAAAAAAAAAAAAAGTCATTTTCTTTTGTGTTTTTTTTTCCTTTCTGTGAGTGCATAACATTTACAAAAATACACACCAGCAGCAGTCGTTGCTAAAGGCTATTACTTCTGTACCTAGGCAAACACTCTGCCACCAATAAATGCTAACGAATATGATGCAAATGACCCAACCAATTATTATACTTAACACAAACCAGCTTATCCTTCAAATGAAGAAGTTAACATACCTTTGTTTCAAAATATAGAAACATACGACGAAAATAATGTCTATACATAAGACTAACTTTTTGCAGTTTGTTATATTCACAATTCTACATCTTGGGCAGCGAAGGGGTTGGGGGGGGCGGTCAATGGGGTTGGGAAGGGGCCCTCTGGACAGGAGAGGAGCTGGTCTGGGGCAAAGAGGGTGGTTATCTCCTGGTTCAAGGGTCTCTCTCCTTTTTCACTTTAACATCCCCAGCTAAGATCGTCGCGATTTCGCCCTGCATGAAGGCCCAAGGTACATTCGACCCAACTAGGGGGCATTTCTCTCCGCTGGGGCAGTACACCTCGCCGGTAGCCCCCTGGGCCTTGATACTCTCTCTAGAGCAAGGGAAGCAGAATTTGTGGCTGGGAACGGAGGGGCACTGGACGAAATGCGTGTCCTCCAAACGTTCGTGGCAAATGGTACAGCAGAGGGGCCCGCTGTTGGCCATAGGGGAATCCGGAATGTTTTGGGGATGCACTTGGTCCATGCCCGGGTGGGTGCTAGGCGGCGGGGGCGCCACCTGTAAATTCAGGTCCCCGTTCCGCGACGTCAGGCGGCGCTGCCCGGGCACGGAGGCCGGTGACACGGGGCTGCTGCTGTTGCGCCGCGCGGAGGCCGTGGTGGAGTGCACCGAACTGCCGTCCTTGGGCGAGTGCGCCGTGCCCAGAGTGTCTGCCACCGACATGAGGGCGGCCATGGGCGACGGGCCGTTCTGAGGGGCTGACTCGGGCGGGGTGGTCCGGTTGGAATGGGGTCCCAGGGGTGGGGGCGGCGGGGGCGGGCCCCCTGCCGCGTGCCCCGGCGCCGCGAAGCCCCCGGCCGACATGGTGAGCTTGAGGGCCTCGCTCTGATTCGCCATCCACTGCTGCCTCTGCTGCTCCTCACCCAGCTTCAGCGCGCCCTCGGCGGAGTCCGGAGGCTCCGGAGACGCCTTCCTCTTGCGCAGGCTGGCGGCTGCGCCCCGGCCCGAGGGGGTGGCGGGCGGCAGGGCCCCGGTCCCCGGGGGTGCGCTGGGGGCGCGGCTTAGACTCACCAGGGCCGTGGGCAGCATGGGGCAGCTGGCGTCCAGGTAGGGCTGGGGCAACATGTCGGCGCCGGGCACGCCCTCCTTAAAGAAGCGCACGGCCTCGGGCAGCAGGTCTCCAAGGAGGCGCCAGTCCCCGGAACCGTGCTTCTTCTCATACTCCAAGTACTTGAAGCCGGAGGAGAGACCCCGGCCGAAGTCCTTCATACAGTCTTGGTACATCTGCTTGGCCACCCCGGAGGCGCTGGAGTACACGTTGCCCGAGCCCGTGGGGTACTCGATGAACAGCTTCAACTCGTAGTCCATGCCGGGCTTGGAGACGGCGTCGAAGGCGAAGACGCGGCCCAGCAGCGAGTGGTCCTTCTTGAAGCGCACCTCGTAGGGCGTGCAGCCGGCCAGCGTGAGCAGCGTGTCGCGGACCATCTTGGGCTTGTTGGCCCACTCCTCCGCGCGGTTGCGCAGGCTCTCGCTCAGCTCCGCCAGGGCCTCGGCGTTCCGCTGCTTCTCCTTCAACTCGCGCTCCTGGTCGGTGCTCGACACCGAGCCGGGCCTCTTGCCGCCAGCACCCACGCCCACCTCGGCCACCGACGACGAAGTCGAGGACGCCGCGGAGGACGAGGCGGCCGAAACGCCGGGGGCACCCCCGAGGCAAGCGGGGCCCCCGGGGGCCCCCGGGGGCGCAGGCGTCGGGGGCCCACGGCTGCCCAGGGCGTGAGGCGGCGGCGGAGGCAGCACCGGAGCGCTGGCCGGGCCGTTAAGCAGCGTCTGCGGCAGCAGGTTGGGGGGCACGGTGAGCTGGGGGCCTCCGCCACCCCCTGGGTTGGGCAGCCCTGCCACTAACCCGCCGTGCGTCCCGCGCCGAGACGCCACCGATGCTGCCACCGAAGAAGAATTGGGGCTCTGGCGGTTCAGCTCCGGGGGTCCCTCCTCCGGGGTGGGCTTGGGGAAGCCGTTGGGGCCCCCCAGGCCGTTGGGCAGCCGCGCGGCGTGGCTGCTGCTCCCCAGGCTCACTGGCGGTGGCGGGTACTCGAAGCGGCTGCGCTGTTCCACCGCGGCCGCGGCGGCCGCGCTCAGGCCGTAGCGCTCCAGGCCGGACGGGGCCGCCAGCACCGCAGGCTTGCTGGAACCATCGACGTGGTTGAGCTGCTGCTGCTGCTGTTGTTGCTGCTGTTGCTGCGCGGCGGCTGCGGCCGCGGCAGCTGCCGCCGCCGCCTCCTTAGCCGACAGGGCCACTGTCTTGACCCCGACGGGAGGCGGCGGCCCGGGGGAGCGGCCGTCTTGGAAGCAGCCGTGCGCCCGCTTCAGCTGGCGCGCTGTCTCAATCACAAACTCGATGCGATCGGCGCCCTCGTAGTTGACGCAACCGCGGCATACGGGTTCCGAAAAGTCCCAGATCATGGCCCAGGGCATGCGGGGCAGGTCGCACAGGTAGCAAGACTGTCTCCGAGACGAGGACACCTGCGCCGCCGACATGATGCCGGCCCTGGGGAAGGGAGGCCCCCTCCCCCGGCCGAGCTGTCTCCGCGGCGCCTGCTCCTCCCGAAGGGTCGGCCGGCTGGGGCAGGAGTCCGGCTGCGGGGGGAGGAAGCGGGGGATGGGGGGGAGAGAAAGTTCTGCCCCAGGGGCTGGAGCGAGCGCGAATGTCCACCGCCGGCGCAGTGCCTGGCCGCCGGGGGCTCCACCGCCCGGGCGGCGGACGAGTGCAGCCCGGCTCCTCGCCCCCACCTCCTCCTACTGCGGCTGTCTCGTCGCGAGGTGAGCTCCGGCGCCTTCTTCCTGGTGTCGCGGACCCAGGCTGGAAGCTCCGGGCCCGGGGCGGGGGAGGGGGCGAGGGTGGCCGGGTGCTGGCGGCCGTTGGCTCTTGACCCCCTCCCCGGAGTATAAGCTGGTGCGTGGAAGCTCGCAAGGGGTTGTCTCTTCCTCTCCCCTGGTTGGCGGGGTGGGGGGGGAACCCCCTACGACCTGCGTCCTCTCGCCTCCAGGCTCCCCGGGACGAAGGCTAGAGGGTGCAGTGCCACCCGGCGCTCGGGTCCAATCTTGCTGAAGTCGCGGCTTCCCCGGAGGGCCGGGGGAGGAGCTGGCAGCCGCGAGGCGCTTCTCCCTCTCCGCAGAGGTCGGCCGGCCGTTCCGCTGGCGGCGGCTGGGGGTGCACGGCCGCGAGTGCAGCCGCCGCGGTCACTGCTTTCAGGACGCACGAGAGCCGAGGAGAGAAGGCGTGCACGCCAGCAGGCTCCCGCCGCCGACCCCAGCCCCTCCACCCACCCGCCCGCCCCGGGCCTGGCCGGCGGCGCCGGGGGGCCCCCCGCGGCTGGCGGCGCTCACGTTGGCTGCAGGGCGCTCGCGCGGCGCCTCGGCCCGGGTCGCATCCCTTTCCCCGCTAGCGCTCGCCCGGAATGTGGGGTTGTGATTGTTAAAACTCTACGTTCCGGAGGCGCGGCGCGGCGCTCCCGCTCGCGCTGCGGCTCGCGCTGTCCCGGGCTTGGCCGCGCGGGATGCCGCCCGGGCGGAGCGCTGACGTCACCACCACGCTCTGCACCAGTTCTTCCCCCCCCCCCCCCCGCCGCCCCTCCCCTTTACACTTCCTCCGTGGAGCCCACTTGTTGCTCGGAAAAGCGCATGCGCGGCAGGCAGCCCAGATTCCTCCCAGTCGGCCCCTCCTCCGCGCCTCCGCCCTCCCCTCCCCCCCCGGTTGTGTGTGTGTGTGTGTGTGTGTGTACAACAGCTGAGGCCCGGCGAGCTGATGCTGGAAGTCCAGGGCGCGGGGGCGGGGTGGGGGGGAATTGGAAATTAAAACAGACGATGACCTTTCCTTTCCCTGCCCGGCTTTCCCAAGTTTAAAACGCTTTTCAAAACCACGAGCGTCGCTTCCGATCCCGCTCCGCACCCCATCCCCGCCCCCCCCCCGGGGGCAGTGAATTTAAATGTGTCCTGTCTCAAGAATTTTTTCGCTGTGAATTTCACAATATAATATAAAATTTGCATATTTCATCTGCAATCAAACCTCTTTCCCCCGATCCCCCCCCCCGAATGAATGTTACACTCATTACTACCCCTGATGCCGAAGCACCTGCAAAACTAGCTGTTCTCCAATCTTCCAGAAACTGCCTTTTCGCTTTTGTTTTTGTGCCCTGGTCTAGGAACCTGAGCTTCAGCGACGGAGCTAAAATGAATTCAGGGTGAGATACCCCTCCCCCGAAGCCTCACTCTTTAAAAATTTTGGCTGAATGTCTAAAGAAGCTACGAGCACCCCCGGAGGCCTTTAAGGAAAACAGTCTACTGGCTGCGCACAGCTGCAGTTGAGGGCAGGGAAGGGGAGGTGCTGGAGAGACCAAACAGGTGAGTGGTTTTCCCCGGTTTGATAAAAAGAAGGTGGGGACAGCCATTTAATAAAGTCGATAGAGCTTTGTAAAGCATCGCCGCAGTTTTCAAAATTCTTTTCTCTGTGCTGTGATTTCATTCCATAGGGCCCCAGAAGGCTGAGCAAGGTCTTGATTCCTTTTCAGTTACAAGATCTCGTCTCATCATTAGTGTTTATTGCGGAGCAGATACGTTGGTCAAAGGGGCATTTCCACTGATTGTTTCAAGTATTGGGTCTACTTAAAAAAAATTTTTTTTTTCTCCATGAAGACTAAGGTAGTCCTGGGCAAGGCTGGAGAAGGGTGGCCATGTAACAGAATTTCAGGTTCTGGAGTCTGACACACTTAAGAATTTTCTCTTGCTGGCTTTGTGACCTTAAGCTATTACTTAGCCTAACAGAACCTCTGTTTTCTATCTGTAAAATGGGATCCAAGCTCCCAACTTATTAGGAATATTTGAGCTGTCATTTTATTTCTTGTTATAACTCATTTTGACTTGCTGTGGGTCAGACACTGTTAGGTGGTTTACTTAAATTATCATTAAACCTTCAATATTATCTACAACGTAGATTCTATTACTAACTGTGTTTCACAAGCTCAGAAAACGAGGAGGTTAAATAACTTGTCCAAGGTCACACAGCCATGAGAGACAGAACTGGGATCTGAATACTGTAAATCTGTTTTGAATGCTGCCTTTGACAAGTTTTGGTTCTCAGTGGTATTTCGGAGTGCTCAAAATTTCCATCAGCCCTCCCCCCCAGTTTGTTACATACAATTCTCATGTAAAGTGCTATGCAAATACATCTTCATAAGTGCCCCCCACCGTCCCCTTCCAAATAGATTGTGCCATTGACTTCTTCCATAGAAGCTGTTACCTTCCCCTGCCAGAGACTGTAGCATAAATACACCACAGTGTGTAGAAGTGTCAGGAATACAGGAGGCCATGAGTAAGTGTTGGTTATTATTAGTATTGATATTGATGGTACTGTTGCTGATTAACGTATAGAAATACTTTGTAAGTTACCTACTTTTATCCCTACTATTACTACTAATTGTAAAAAAAAGTTCAGTTGAAGCAACAAGAAGTATTTTGATTTTGACGACCTTCAGAATCTGTTTTCCCCCATTCAGCCCTCTCCAGCACCCTGACTTCTCACTCATTCTGGGGTCCTAGGGTGCAAAAGAAGGTGAGTTTTTAAGAATAGGGAGAAAGGGGGAAGGAAGAGCCCTAGGGAGCCCCTCTTTCATCTCAAAATCAGTCAGATTTCTGTTTCTGCAAAACAGTGAGCTCACTGTGCACTCCCCAACAATAATAAACTTTCCCTGGCTGCTGGCTCCCGGCAGTGATTTCTCTGTAAAGAGCTGCTGGGAGCATTGTCTCACCCTCCCAGACTTCAACCCTCCCCACGCCACAGCTACCCTGGAGTGAGTCAAAACACAGGGCTAGGAAATAGTGACATTCCCACCAGCCTGGGGCTCGAGGCTGCTTAGCTTTAGCTTGGTCAGTTAATCTGTGCCTTTATACTTATTCAGCCTATCCCATTATTAAACCAAAAAATACTGAAGAAAGCAACTTAGCCCCAACCCTCTAGCCAGGCTGCTAGAGAAAGCAAGTCGGATTCTGTGTCATAGTGCTATGTTTGGTATGCACACACATATGTCTCCATCTCCTTGCCTGTCTTTGCTGTTACTAAAGAAGATACACACACACACGTACATGCTGGGTATCCTCAGACACACCAAGTTAGAAATAAACATGCATTTAAACAAACTCCTATTACAGTCTTGTAATCCTTTAAAAGGCATAGCTCTCTAGATACCTTTCCCCTCAAAGAATCATCATCACTGAAGGTGATAAATTTCATCTTAACCGCTTGTCTGGAGATGGCCCTGTTTGGGGATGTGTCAGGGATTGTGAGAGGCAAGAATATCAATATTTTGGAGAAAAATTTCCCTTGGAGAATTGCATGTGACAATATTGCCTCCACAATGAGAAGTAACTGAGCAAGGTGGGGGGAAGGGGGGCTTCTACCTAAGATACTAGGTGGAGAGACCCACAGCTCAGACAGAATGCTTGGGGGGCGGGGAGTGTCTTGGAGACTGGCCAAGTCAGCGGTCAATCTGGTGCAAGGGGAAACGCCTGCAATTTCCCAAAGGTCCAACGGTGGCTGGTCCCCCCACGCCACCCCCAGCTTGGCATCTGAGCTGGCATCCTCGGAGGACCCAGCTTTAAACTGGAGCAAAAGGTCAGCTCTCCACTTGGCCTTTCCGGAGGCGACACCCCGGCTAGAGGTGAGAAGGTTGCAGGCTGGATCCATGCACCTCGAAGCTCCCTGCAGCCTCCTGTCCGCGCCCCCGCTGGTTTGTGGCAGAGACGGGGGTGGGGTGGGGGGGAACTCTGGCCTGGCATCCTGCAGCCAGCTGGCTCGGCCCTTCGAGGAGGCCCGGGCTGAACCTCGCGTCACCCCACTGCAACGTGCGGGCCAAGCTCTCAGGCAAGAGAAAGGCCTTTTTTGGTAACACTCAAGCCAGCAGTCAGCAGGACCCATTTCTTCTGTCCGCTAGAGCCGCCTCCAAGTAGATGAAAACAAATGTGTGGGCTGGGCGCCCCCCATCCCCAGGCCAGGAACCCCCACCCTCAACCCTGGAGGCTGGAGGAGTGAGAGGGAATCGAGTCAGCACGGTGATTTACACATTTACTCCCAGGCCGGTTCCGTGACGGAAGTATTTGCCTTTTCCTAAAGGATTAATCCTGGTATTTTTTTTTTTTAAAGTTAATTTAGGCCAGGGCATAGGGTTACGCAAGAGCCACTAGATCGTGAAATCCCAGGAACAACGTGATTCGCTAAGAGCCCCGGGGGGAGGGGAGGCTGCACCGCCCGCCGGGACCTGCCCAGCCCCGGGCGCGCGGGCAGCCGGGCGCTCCGTGCAAAACTGGGTGGAAGGGAGAGGAGGACATAGTGGTTGGTGCTGGCGCGGCGGCCGCAGCGAGCGATCAGATCTCTTGACTGCTTTCTTCCTGAAGGGGCGGGGAGCAGGGAAGAGAAGAAAGGCGCGGGGCGGGGGGAGTCGCGTCTGGTTCCTGCCTCCTCCCCGCTTCCTCTCCTGGCCAGAGTGCCGGGGCACGGGGTAGGGGGGCCCGTGGCCGCTGGCCTCAGCAAAAGCGCATGTTTTTTCAGGTCCCCAAAATCAAGGAACCCTGAAATGAGCCTCTCAGGGAACAGCCCTCGGGGGGGGGGCGGCAGGAGGAAAGCGCTAGACAAGGGTGCTATTCACCAATCCGTTTGGGTTAAAACAAACACCCACACCCCAAGGAGGGGGGTAAATCGGGAAGGGGGACTTGGAGGGCGAAAGTGGGCGGAGAGGCAGGCAGCGAGCGGTCAGGACCACAGGTGCTCAGACCCTCCCGTCCCACACCGCATGCGCCCGGGGCCTGAGCAGGGAGCCAGTGTGCTCGCGGGTTCCCACCGGCCCGCACCAGAGCCCGGGGATTTCCACCACCCGGCTTCGGAGACCCGTCGTCGCCGGCGCTTTCCTGCCCCGGGGCTGCCAGAAGGCGGGGCGTCAGAGCGGGAAGCCCTCGCTGCGGCCTCGCTGTCCTCGGTCAAGTCTGGTACAGAAGGATAGCCATCAGTGCTGTCCCCGGTTGGGGTGCATGGGCTAGGAAAATCGCAAAGTATTTGGACTCATCTTGCTTAGCTAGGTGGTTCAACTCGCAACTCGGGAGCGAGTGAGAAAGAGGAGGCACTTAGCATTTAGTACATACTTAACATGATGTTCCACTTGGACTTGGCTGACCCTGAATAGCTCTGTGACCTTGACCAGATCACCTGACCCTGTATTTCTTAGTCCGTAAAAGGGGTATAATTAGTCTCATTGGCCTGTGTGGAAGATAAATAATATAATGTACTTAATAAAATGGAAGCGATTATGAACAATAGAATGACCAGCATTTGTCCAGAGCTCTGAAATGCCTTCTTCCCAGACATTATCTCACCAATCACCACACCAGCCTTGTGACTTAGGTGTTACTTTCAACACCCTCCTGTGTAGGTCAGGAAAGCACATCCAGAGCTAGTCCAGAATTATTGAAAACCAGGTTCTCTGGCTCTAAATCCAGTGTTCCTTCTTCTGTTCCAGGGGTGCCAGCCTTTTTTGGAGGATGGGGGTGGGGGTACCCTAGCTGTTTGTAAGAAACTGCAAGAAAGTTAAAATGTCTCTCCTACAGAAATTTCCAGGTGAAGAATGCCACTACTGTGCCAGTAGATGGGAGATTATGCATAAATTAGCACCAGTTTGGAGGGAGTTAAAATCAGTCATCATTCAGCTTTGAGCAAAATTGTGTAGCCATGATTCCCAGGCATCCCCTGAGACCTTCCTGGATTTTTCTATACCCTGCCTCTAGGTAGAGGTGATGGAGGAAAATCTGAAGCACATGCTGAAGTATTTAGGAACTTACTGAGTTTCCCTTACTGAGGATAGCTATTGATTTTAAATGTCCACACCTGAGAAGGACCCCCAGGCTGCTTGATGAAAGAGAAGGAAGTGGAGAAGATCCACTTAATGGTGGAAGTAACCTCTTTCCAAACCCGTAAGTCAAGTAACAAACCTTTGCATTCACCAGATTCAGGTAATATGGACTCTATGTGCAGCCACCCAATAGGTGCTGTCCTGTACTTGGTCTGGGGGGCCACTTGATGACTATGGCAGGCTACTCCTCAAAGCACTTCTAGCCTAGGAGAGGCCTGTACCTTGACAATCAAGCCTGGCATAGGTACCACAGGAGCTGGAAATCAAGGGAATAAGATAGCCCTCAACCCTGACCCATCTAGAGGACCACCATCTGGATAACCTTAACTTCCCTCTCTGGCCAGACCCAGAGGATTCAAGCCTGACGTGTCCCGATGAGTGTGAAGCTATTCTCATCACTTACATTTTGTTTCAAAGCTGAAACTTGGGTGCCAGAGGGCCTAGTGGGTTTCCATCTCCTAGCTCCTAAACATGTGCCCTTCCATTGCCATTCATTAGGTTGCTCAACTATTTAGAGAATACTTTCTCAGCCCTAGGGATCTAATAATGAATGAAGCCAGGCTGACTCTAGCCCAGAATCTAGAAGCTTCCATTTACTCCTAGGTGTCCTAGTTTCCTGAAGAAAAAGCCCCAAAGTCATCAGAGGCTGTGCTTGTACAACACACCCCCACCTGCCACATGACTGACAGAGAGCAATCTGTTTATTCTCTCCAGGCCCAGTTTCCTCATCTGCTAAGTGTTGATATTACCTGTTTTCCAAACTTTGGGGGCTTACAGTGAGTATCTCTATTTTAATACCTAGGGGTGTAGAAAGGGAAGCCATTGTCAGGAATCTCCTTTCCTGCACTAAATCTTTCTAGGTAAAATAGCTAGAAGAATTGAGACCTGATCCATACTCTTCAGTCGTCCTCCTGGCCAGCTCAGCATCTCTGTTTTTCTGGGCTGATGGGCAAACAGTGACTGCCTCTGGACCTAAAAGCTAGGAGGAGACAATAGCCAGGGTAGGTCGTCTCCTCATCTCTACTAGGCCAACAAGGATTTCCCATCCCCAGTTCCTGGTGGTGCCGAAGCTCGCAGCAGTTGGGATTATTGGGGGCTTTTACTTTTTTGTTTTGGTCAATTTGAAATGAAAAGAGGCAATGACCTCTTCTTTAAAAAACAAAACTAAGCAGGAAGTGTGCTGGGCCTGAGTGGCAGGGACTAAGGGTGTAATTACAGGTTTTTTGTTCAGCATTTTCATGTAATTAAATCCAAAGGAAAACGAGCCTAGCCGAGGCGGCTTTGGATGCAGGGTAGATACGGGGTGGGGTGGGGTGTCTGTGTGTGTGTGTGAGGAGAGGCAGGAGGTGAGGGTTTGCTTTTCAGGCTGAGAAGACGCGCGTTTCTCGCGTTGTTAATAATTTTACACTACACTCCTTTTCCAAAAGGTAGCCGATTATTCATCTTTTATTCGGTGCCACTGCACTCTCCTTGGTGACATTTCTTAGCCGCGCACAGCCTTCTCAGCACTGATTTCCCTTCAGCCCAAGACTCTTCCCCTCCCCACGTTTTCATATCGCCGCTCGCTGCCTGGTTGCCCACACAATGAACCCGCTGCAAAACCCACAGCCAGTGTTCTTGCCTTTGGAGTTTCCATACCAGCGGCCTCTGACGCCGCGAAACAGCCCCTCCCTTTGCTGTGAACATCTTCTGGCTCTCCCAGTTTCGCTTTACAATACTTCCCCCTCCCCCCAGCCTTCCCGGTGGCTGCCTCGGTTTCCCTGCTGGGCGGCTCCCAGCGCAGGAGCCCGCGATCGGCCGTGCTGGAGCATCTGACCTGGGGTCTGAATCCTCGGGCACGCGGGCTCCCGTCCCCTCCCTTTCCCGAGAGCTCTCCAACCCCTCCCCGAGCCCTCGGTGTCCCTCCGACGTTTCCTGGACGCCGTGAACTGGCAGCAAGAATGGGCCCACTGTCTGCGGACATTCTGAAAGCCAGGAAACCTGACCCACCCCAAAACCACGCGCTCCAAAGGAACGGCAATTGCATTTGCCGGGAGGGCGGGACTAGAGAGCCCCCTCCCCTCCCCCTCCTCCCCCTGCCCCCAACCCCCCAACAAGGCCCGCAGATCACCACCCCCACGCCCTCCCTTACGCCACCTTCACCTACTCTTCCCAAGAACAGACTGTTTATCAGAACGGGCAGCCAAGAAATCTACTCCCGCTTCTGGCCTCTGCCAGAGATTAATCACACTTGGGAAAGGCACACAACTTGACTGGGGCGGGGCGGGGCGGGGCGGGGGTTGCGGACGGGGAGAGTAGTGAAAAGGAAAAGACCAGTAATTCTGACATTTGACAAGCTAACCAAATTGGTGCTACCTTTCCCCTCCTTTATTTTAACAAGTAGGCGCAGAGGACTGAATTATATTCTGTATATTCCATTCCACTGCCTCTACCCCTCCTATGCCCCCTCCTTCTCTTAAGTCTTCATGTTTGATGCTTTAATAGTAGTGACTGGCTTTTAATTCTGATTAACATTCTCAGGGGTGTGTGTGTGTGTGTGTTGGAGGCTGGAAAGACATTCACAAACCTGTGTGTGTGTGTGTGTGTGTGTGTTGGGGGCCGGAAAGACATTCACAAACGTGTGTGTGTGTGTGTGTGTGTGTGTTGGGGGCTGGAAAGACACATTCACAAATCTGACCGCCTGACAAATCCCCCCTTTTCATCCTTCCCTTTGAAATGACATCAAGATGGACTGGGGAGGGGTGGGAATGAAGAGGAGGCATGGAAAAAAGAGGAGGGGGAAGCAATTTATGTGCTTTTCTAAGGCAGCTAGTAAAATTCCTAGGGAGAACAAACGCCAAAATTGACTGTCTTGGTGTATTTTAGACCGGATGGTCAGGGTGACTCATGTCAGGGCTTTGCACTGGACCTGCAGCCTGGAAGCCAGGGACAGACACACAAAACATCCCTGTGGCTGGGAGGTACCCTTCTGAAGGAGGCAGGAGACAGATATTTGCTCTCGCCAGGATCCTCTCCATCAGGATTTTTTTTTTTCTTCTCAAATTCATTGCAAGATGGATTTAAAAGAAAAAGTCTGATAAAGAAAAATCAGGGACAGAAAATGCCCCATAAAACATGGCCCCCAAAGGAAAGGTGCAGAACCCATTTGATTCAAGATATAGATATCTCCTCCCTGGATTTTTTTTTCCTTTGCTTTACAACTCTGCAGACATCAGGTTAGCAAAAGGTAATAAATAGTCCTTGCACAGCAGGGTCTGGACTAGTGAAAACAGTTTACTGAAATTAATGGGCCTCGCTTGAACCAAAACCTCCACTTTGGAATTAATGCCAGACATAGTTTTCCTGAACTCTATCCAACCGTCTAAGCAGCAGACAATTTTCGTTCTATTTGTGCTGGAAAATAAAGCCCAAGCCCTTGATCTCAGTGTAGATTATGATTAAAAAAAAAAGATTCAGCACAGTGAATGCTTTGCCAATTTGCGGCTTCTGCTAGTAGAAGCCCTTGTGCTCTGGGCTGTGCCTGACAGTCAGAACTTATCTGGTAAACTTCCCATTGAAAATCATCTCCCAGCTTCCTCCCCATCGGTGGTCTCAGAGCTCTCACCGCGGACACCCGGGAGAGATTCGAGGAAAGCTCCAGAAAAGACTCGGCTCTCAATAACAACCCTCTTCCCCAGTGCTCTTGGAAAGGCTGGATCTGAACAACGCTGCCTGCATGACCTCAATTCCCCAACCTAAATGAAAGCTGAGAGGCACCCAACCGAAACCCGCACCCACCCCACCCACCCCTACGTGGCGGGGGGGGGGGGGGGGTCCCGTACTCAGGGCGTCTGCAAGCTCTACTCAGGGTGTCTACAGTCCTGAAGCTGCTTTTATTTTTATTAACGTATTTTTCAGGCCGAAAAAAGGCACATACACGCACGCACACCGCACACAGGTTCACAGCCAGTGGGTTCTGGCAGGTACAGCGGAGACCGGGTGCTCCAGACTGTCAAGGGTCTTGATCCCAGCCTGGCCTCCCTCTCCCAGTGATTAATAAAAAGCCAGCCATGGGGAGCCGCGTTCTGGTTTTCATTGTACAGGCTGCACTGGGTGACACAGGACATGTGGAAAATTTTTGAGAGCGCCGCTGCGGTGAATGGCGTGGAGCGGGGGGGAGCGTGGGGAGGGGGAGGGGAGGGAGGAAGGGGGAGGGGAGCGAGTTACTTTTTAGCTTCCGCTAAGCACTTGGCAGCGCGCCAGGCCCGGAGGATTCTGGGAAGCGAGAGCCTCCCCGGTATAAACTGCCAGCTCTAAGCAGCCCTGACAGCTCTGCTCCTTCCCAAACCTGGCAGCCGTTCAAAGTGCTCTTTCATTCGGGATGCTGGAAGCCTGCCATGTGCAATGCAGATTTCGCTGTGCCTGTGCGCAGAAGGAACTGATAAATGCCGTTGCGGTTGCCATGGGGACGGGAGGCTATCAGAATGGCCTTGTGATCCGCAGCCTCCTCGCGGCGCGGCAGGCTCTCGCTCCGCGCTCCCGCCCCGCCTCCCGCGAGTCGGTGAGATGGTGAAATCAATGTTCTGGAAAAAAAGGTTAACCCTCCCCGCTCTGGTGCCGAGGTTCGTGAGCCTCTGAGCACTGCTCTGGCCTTCAGTGCCAACCAGCGGCCCCGCGGGCCTCCTTAACTATCCTCTGGGCAGGTCACCGTACCCCCAAACCCCCACCTCCCACCCAAACAATCGCCACCCCTCTCCTGCTTCCTTCTGCTCCCTGGCGGGGGTGGGGGTGGGGGGCTCTCACAAAGCTGTGTTTTTAATAGAGCTTTTCAGCAAGTCCAAGTCTTTTGAGTCATCACAACCCGGATGTAAACACACCAGTCCTGCCTTCTGCACAGTTTGCGTGTATTTTATCTTTTTAATAATATCTGGCTGGCAATTTAAACCGGCAAAGATGCCAGATATTTTAGCCAGCTACTTACATCATGGAGCATCCATCTTGGGGAGAGTTGGGTGCCCGTTCCTTTCCTTGTTCTCCCTACCTACCCTGAGACTTCAGGAAATCTTGGGTCTTTCTGAAGGCATCCTATTGCAACAGAGGCAACCCAGTCCCTTAGAACCCTTGGGCTTTAGAATGAGCATGACATCACCCTAGGCAACACAAACAGAGGGTATGTCCCTGTCAGAGACAAGACATTGGGTGACGGGAGGTGGAACAGGTCTTTCATTTACGCTGAGAGGAAGGGTGCGCCTGTCTGGTTGGTCGTTCCCTCCCCGCCCCCATTTTGCACAAGCTTCTATTTGAAACACCGTCTGATTCAATGTACAGAGACAAAATAGCACACTCAGATTTGGTACAAGTTCAGGTCTGTAATGCCAACTCTCCGGGTGGCCTGTTTAATGGGGGGAAAAATGAAATACTCCATTCCAGCCAAGGCCTGTGGAGGCCAAGGAGGTTTAGTGATTTATTTACATTGAGCAGTATTCCTTCTCAACCCAACTCGCTATTTCCTGAAGGTTTCCTGAACCTAAACCTTCGTTAACATCCCAGGAAGAGAACATATTTTTCCTGTAGCTTTCAATATTTTCTGCTAAATATATTTCAGCATACTGTTTATCTAGGGTTTCAGCTTTCAGACTTTTATGTACTTTTGACACCCTGAGGCTGTTCCACTGAAAAATGGTGTATGTTTATTAAAGAGGACTTTCTGTGCTGGGTGTTAAGGCAGTGGGGATTTCTGTTGGGTCTGTCTGTATAATGAGGGCTTCAGGAGAAGAACCAAGTCAGAGGCCTGTTTGGTTTGTGAAGCCCCTTTGACAAAGCAGGCTCTACAGAGCTCACACAAACCCTTGAATACCACAGAAGGTTGAACCAAATGAGGTAGTTCTTCATAAATGCATGGCTGACATGGAGGCTGGATGGGAGAAAGATGGAAAATGCCCCAGGTTCCTGGGACTTCTCTGCAGTGTCTTTTAACCTGCCTCTCTAGTTGTCTGCTTGTGATTGTCACGGCAATTCTGGCCTAGGCTTTCTGTCTCCCTGGAATTTCCTCACTTCGAGGAGCTCCTTCCAAATAAATAAATTAATCAATAAAAGCCATCTGCTTCACCTTGCCAGCAGGCACGAGGCTGGAAGGAGTAGTGTTGAATGCGATTTTTAGGAGCATTTGGCCTTTGAGACGTTTCGAGGTGGGTTCTGGCTTGGAATTAAACAGGAATTGGAGGCAGAAATCAGGTGATTCAGAAAGTCCCTCTTTCTCCCTCACCCCCACCCATATCACCCCCCCCATACTCACCCCCACCTTCCCCAGAAAATCCAGGCAGCTGAATTTTTGGCTCTCACAGCTGCTAAGCTTTGGCAAGCCATAAGCATACTTCGCGGTGGTGATTTCTTTCCCAGGTTGACCGACATGTTTCTGCACTGAACGTGAGGGATGTTTCCTGACTGTGTGTATGAATCAGAGGCTGTATTTTTCATGCAGGGCTTCTGGTGACAGTTTTAAGCTGGAAAGAACAAAGCAGATCATGATGAGCCCCTATCATCAGGGTCCATAGATAAAGAGTCTATCCAAAGTGCTGGCTACGTGGAGCTCAGATGCGTAAGTTCACGTTTTAGCCGTGCCCAGAGCAGTCCATGCTCCCAGAAGGTGGTGCCCATGCTCACATTTCAGACACTATCCCCTCCCCCCCACTTCCCCCCATCTCTCTCTGTCCTTGTGGTGTCTGCTTCTTTGTTGCCTTCAAAAGTTCTTCCCTTTTTCAACCTTCCTCTCCCAAATGGGAAGATCCGAAAAAGCCATTTTGGGGCCCTCAGTGTCTTCCTAAATGGAGGCACACCCTGAGATCCCAAACAGCTTAGACCATACCCAAGTTCTGCCCGTTAGAGTAGGATAATGACCGAGGGGAGTCGGTGGTGTGGCCCTTCTGTCGCAGGACCCAAGGAGTGGGCTTCCCAGAAGTCCGTGGATTAGGAAGGTCTGCTGCAGGGGCTGCCAGGGAACAACTCCCTTTTGTTTTGCTGTCTAGCATGTGACCAGAATGCTGCCAGCTAATTTTAACCCCACCAAAGTACTGCTGGAAAAAAACAAAAAACAACAACAACCAAAAAAAAAACCCAACAAAACAAACTGTCTTGCATCTGGCGAGAGAAATGCTGTGGGCTGGATAAAAGCTTTTTCAGCTTGTGTTCCTTCCTGTTTCAGTTTCCAAACTTGCATTATCGGTAACCTGAAATATGATGAGTTGCACCAAATTCCTGGATATTGCACAAGAGGACAATGAGTCTATTTCGGGTGCTGTGAATATGTCTGGCACGGACCCTGGAAGTCACTGTTTTCAGGAGGGAGCAGATTTGGGGTTTCCTGGTGCTTTCCTTCTAGGGTCTCAGAGCCCCCAGAGGTACGGGGGTGGGGTGGGAGTGCTCTCCACGTCAACCATGCAGACTGCATCTAAAAGGACACGGATGGAAAGTGAGTGGGTTGTGGGGTGGGGGTGGGGTGCTAGCCGAGGCACTGGTGACCTTGGGATGTGAAGTGGTGGATGGTAAGGCAGTGTCTGAAGTGGGACAGCAGAAGCAGGAAGAAGTGGGTAGAAGGAAGCTTTCACAATAGCTGGGGGGGGGGGGGTGTGTGCTCCCTGGGACACAGGCCCCCAGCTCTCCTACTAAATTTCCATATCCGTTTTCAGCACCAGGAATTCATGGAGGACTTCATGGAGGTCCTCACCCTGGATACTGAGTTCTCAGAGCATTTACATGGCGGTTAATTTGTTGCTGTCTGCCTAGGCTACCATGGGTGCTAGGGAAAAGGGACGGAATCTCAAGAGCCAGGAAATGAAGAGGCCAGGATAAAACAGCGTGGAGCTTGGCAGCTGCTGCCGGCTGTTCTCAAACCACATAGTGAGATGGGCTAGCCTCTACCTGAGGGGCTGCGGTGCAGTTGTGGAAGACAATATGATGGCAAAGAGACCCCAGTGAAGGCTGAGCACTCCCAGAAACCAGGATGGCTTGGTGGCATTTGTCCTGACAGACAGCTGCTGAGAGCTTCAGCTGCCAGAAAAGCCATTTGCTCAGGCTTGCCCTGTCTGGCCAGCTTCGATGCACTTAAAAGGACCCTTGTTGGTCTCTGAGGTCCCCCTCTCTGCACCTGAATCCTCCCATCTTTGGAAGACAAGGGAAGTTCCTAGGAGACATTCGCCCCACCGTCTGCCTCGAAGCTGCTGCTGTAACCTTCCCACAGTAGTCAACATCAGCTGGCAAATCCCTAAATTAAGGTTCTGTTTACTCTGTTGTTCCAAAGGCTTGTTTTCAGCAAGAGGCTGTGCTTTAATTAAAAAGATGAGCGCTCATGAGTAAGTGAAAATATTTTTTGACTGCCTCACAAATCTGTTTGACTTTCCTTTTCTTGCTTTTCACAGCAGGGGTAGGGGGAGGGGAAGGGGGGCAAGGCTGATCAGCACGTTTATCCGTAAGACCACTAAAAACCTTTCCTGTTAGCTGACAGCTGGCTCTTCGCCAAGGGAACCCAAAGTCCAGAATCTGTTCCTCGGGGTGTCTCTGTTTGCAGATCCCCGCCCACATTCAGGTGTCCTGAGGACACATTTCTCATCTACCTTTCCGGCCAGAGGATTCTTAAATGTTTCCTCACGACGCCACAGCTGGAATGCAGCTGCTGCAGGGTGGAGCAAACGCAAACTCCTGTGGGTCAGCCGGGTGAGGGAGGGCAAGGAATCTTGGAAGGTTGGGAAAGTCCTTCTCTCTGAAGCCAGAGCTCAAGAATGAGTAGGGCCCCTGGTGTGAAAGCTTTCCAGATGGGGGAAGGGACGGTAAGTTTTTGCCCTCTGGGTAGATTCCAAAAAAAGCGCTTTGGGGAGGCCAGCGATTTTGGAATTGCCTTTAAAGCAAACAGCACAAATGTTTAAATTGACCTGGAAAACCCTTCCATTTTTCTTTCCCTACAATCCAAGTCTGTTCCCTTGAACATTAATCAACTGGAACGTTTGCCCAAACTTCTCTCCTCCCCCACCTCTTTATTATTATTATTATTATCTTTGGTTCAGAAAACTTTTGGAAGCTTTCCCAGGCTGGAGCTATAGAATGCTTCCAGGAAAACGCATAACGAGTGTCTGTGTTTTGAGTTTCTTTGGAGGGGGTACTAAACATGTTTTTCAGAAAGACTGAGCTGGGGGCAGCCAGGTCTTATGCAAGAGGCCGGCCAAGCAAAAGGGCAGACGGTACCGGAAAGGTCTGTGTGCACCCAAAAAGCGCTGAGACGAAGGTATGGTTTAGCCGGTCCGCCTGTTCTCGTCTTTCAGACCCGTGACCGCAGCTGCCTCTGTGTCAGTGTGTGCGTGAAGCACCCCAGTCTCCAGTAGATGGGCGGAGAACAGCTGGGTGCCAGGCTCCGAACTTCGTTCTCAAGTTAACAGCACTTGTAATTTCTGCCTAAAGAACACTTGGAAATTCAGCTGGAAAAGTGCAGGGGGTCAATACTCACCCAGCAGGCAGAGAGCCCAGCCAGGCGTGGAATGTAATGGACAAAAGAGGTGTCCTGGGGCTCTTGCT